AGAGAAATAAGTTGTTCCGGTGTCAACTGATAGCTTAGTTTCCACAGATTTCAAAAATCTAAAGTCTCTATGAATTTCCCTTTTGCAATAAGAGCGATACTTGTAAGTTGTAAATCGCCACTTTAAGTTCTCAAAATGTGCTTCCGATGACATATGGTAGCTTTTGTTATACTGATTAGAAAAGTATATGGTTTCTATTTACTTTGGCTTGGCATTGATAAGTTGCTTCTTCCGGTCTACAAACAGGATGGTTTCTGTTGATATAGAATAAACACCCTCATACATTTGTACTCTTAGTTAAAAAAAATATTAATCATAGTTCAAAATATAGCTTTATCACTAAAATAGTTCTCATTGACGATCTTATGTAATTAAGCCTTTTGTTCAGTTTTCTTTTAGTATATGTAAGAGAATGATAATCCCTTTCTTCATGATTAAGTACGAGCGTTAGCGAGTACTTATCATGAAGTAAGGGATTATCATTCTCTCACAAACGTAGAATATTGTAAATTGCTCAAGGCTCAAATGATCTCTTGATTGGTTGTATTCAAGAATTAGTTTCATTGTCAGTGTAATGTTGATAATTGATAAATGACTTCATTTTTCGGCATTTCATTTATGGATTAGTTATAGTGGTGTAAGGACTTTCTTATAATTTAGGAAATATTGAAAAATGCGTTACTAGTATATACATTAAGTGACACAACAATACAAAGAAATGGTACGAATTGTATATGTTTCTTGATTGTGAGTATGAATGTAAATCATGTAATATTTTAGTGAGAAATTATCCTTTTTGTATTTACAGTTTAAAACAATAAATACATTTGAGTTACAACTAATTTTATTTCACAGCCAATATTTTGGTCCGGCTTTTTAGATCAAATACTATTTAATAATGTCAGAGAAATGTTCAAATAAAATGCCTTTAAAAGTTTTAAATATATTCAAAACGTAAATCAAATTTCTGTTTTTTTTATTTTTTTATTTTATCGGAATATTGGAAATAACTATTCTTCCATACCGCTGGTTCAGTTATCAGAGTTTTGGAAAGCTGAAGATTTAGATTATTTTTTTTTCATTGCATTGATATTGTTTAATTTTTTTTTTTTATTGATTTGAAGTTATTAATATTTTCATTATAACATAAAAGGTTCAACTTATTTTGGTTTTTTTTGTTTGTTTCACAATTCAACTTTTAGTCAGTTTCACTCACTGTGATAAATCCTTTCAATCTGATAAATGTGCTTCGGGGCACTTTTAACTCATATATAGAAACTCTTTGTTTTGAACTGTAAATAGACCCAAATAATAGGATAATCCCATACTAAGAACATGATTTACATTCATTCTTTACAATTAAGAGACATTAAATCCTACAATTTCATTGGTCGAGAGCACTTTGCTATATTCGAAATATAATTACCACTTTTAATTATTGTTTTAAGAACAAAGAAAACGAAATATAGTCGCAATATACATAATATCTATTAAACTACTCCCAATTACACACAAACATAACAAAGTTTAAATGAATCTACATCTTTTGTGTCTGCCAATGATCAATCTACTTGCATCAGGTCAAATAATGTAAAATGTTTCCTTGTCGAAACTAGGTCAGAATTATGTTTCTCATTGCATTAATTTGTATTTTTATCAATACCAGACAGACATCTTGCAACAAAGGAGAAGGACAATGTATTCGAAAAGAAGCATTAGGGTTAGTTTATCATATTTGATGTTTTTGTTTTTTGTTTATAATTGACACTATTTCTTCTGTTAGCAAATGATGTAAATGAGAAATTCATGAACAAAACGATTATTGATGAGTCAAATAACTGTAGTTTGACATTGATTCTGGTTTACGCTTTACTACAACGATTGAGCACAACCTTGCAAATGTCTATGAGAAATGGAGAGCAATATACATATATACGATCATAATCATGATGTGTTACTTGAGTTTATCTTAATACATTATAAAACTAACTCAATTTTCATTTTTTAAATTGGTATACCCTGCTAATGGTATATCCTATTTACTTTGTCCGTTGGTTTATCTGTTCGTTCGTCTGTTAGTTTACGCATCAATTAGTAAGTTACTGCATTAAAGAATACTTTGAATTTTAATCAAAACTTTTTTATGAACAGTTACACCGTCTACAGGGTAACAGGTTTATCGTTTTGTGCGACAGACCTAATGAAATAGCAAACCAAATGAAAACTTCTTTCTAAAATGCATTTATTCCATTCTAAATGTATCGTAGCCAAAAATCCAACAAAAGCTGCAATAGCTGAGACCAAGAATGATATACTTGGTTGTACGTGTTCCTTTCCAAAAAAAAAGACATTATAGAATACAAAGATTAAGATTGATGGGTAATACAAATTATACGTCATCAACTTAATATCAACACAAAAACACAAAACAATATTTTTCAGGAAGAATGAGACATCATTATCATTTGGTTAAATACATGAGGAAATAATTGGACAGACATAAATGAGGCGAACGATACAAATGGAACATTCAAGGTCATAAGTCGAAAATAGACTGACAACGCCATTGCAAAGAAGTAAAAAGACCAAGAGACAAACAACAGTATACAAAACACAACACAGAAAACAAATGACTAACCCACCAAAAACCGGGTTTATCTCAGGTGCTCCGGAGAGATAAATAAGATAATATATGGCATAGGACTTAGGAGAATAAAAAGATGTTCTAGTTATATATTATGTAGATAGCAAATAGCAAAATTTTACAAAAGATTGATTGATTGAATAACGATGTCATAGGAAAGAGCAAGTTAGTAGTTTCTGACAATTTCACACAGTTATTAAGTTTGTAATTGATTACGCTAAATTCAATGGGTGAACATCGATTGGTGAAAATCAGGCTTGCGGTTTTTGACTCTGAACAAAAAAAGTACAAGCATAAAGTGATAAACGCAAAAACAGAATAAAATATTCTATTAGGTTGACACTTGTGCTAGTAGAATGTCTCTTCACGTAATGATATAACCGACGTCCAAACAAATGTATCGTGTAGGTTGAGAACAAAACACTGCACATGTACATGATCAAAATGACATGAACATCAACATTTTACCGTTCTGAATTTTCATATAATATTTGCCATATTATCGCCCAAGCATTGTAGTGTCTCGTATACAACATTGCGTCAATTGGCTAGTAAAGCTGTACTGATTTTTATGCAATTTTTTTTCTAATTATATGGAATGTTCTTTTTTGTCCTCAGAGGAAAACATGTCAATTTTTGCTGCGATCATTACGAAAAAAACAATGGAACATGCATTGGTAAGTTTGGGTCAAATGAGCAATGTGTAATTCTGCAAAAAAAAACAACCAACAATTAAAAGATATTAGAGACGTTTTGTATCTCAAATTCCATTGATATTTTTTATATTATTTTTTTTCTTGATACTAATTACTAGGCCTATATATTCTACGTTTAAATGACTTTGAATCAATGCACTAATATTCAACTACAAATGGTATTGAACATGTTGAACAAGTGGTACATAAAAAGTGCAATTTAAAAATTATCAATCTCAGATGTTAACTAAATAAAAATGATTACATCCATACCCATAGTGACCTACTTATTCAACAACAATAAGGGTCATTTAAAGCAATAAGGTTAAATGGTCAGAACGATTAACCAGGAGTTCTTAAAAAAAAACAATCATTGCTAAAAAGAAGTTAGAACGTCCGTTCATATTGAAAAAAAAAAAAAAAAAGAAGTCAAGTATTTGATAATTCTTTGAGATTGATCTTTTACTATCAATTTTAATGTTGTCTATCCATTGCTACTATATTGTACACACTTGTATATTGATTTCGCTGTAATGTGAGGGTTTACAGCAAAAGCACAGCATATACTAACCTGTAAAAATCAATCTAAAATGCTTCGACTCATCAGATTGGTAATACATTAAAAAAGAAACAACTATCGAAAACACATAGGACACAAAGTACCGTTTTAAGGGTAATAGCAGTTACTGAAAGCTGATGTAAAGGCCAGTTTTAATAAACAAAGTAAATTAAATTAGAAATTGGTATGACTGCCAACCAGATAACTATCCAACAAAACAATATTGATATATGCAACTATAGAACACCGTATCGCAAGCTATTTAAAGAATGAAAGTTTTCGAAAGCTAAATATATTTGAACACAATGTAAGAAAACGCTAGGTTTGATACACGTATCTAAGTGATTTATATTTATGAAAACGCAGTAAAAAAATATTGTTAATTTTACAGATCAAATGTTAGATGGATAGGGTTAACTTTTCTATTTTAAAATTTTCCTTTAAACAATTCATACGTACTTTTATTTTTAACAAACGAACGTACGTACGGAAATCATTCAATGCACTTTTTATGTACCACTTGTTCAATACCGTTTGTAGTTGAATATTAGTGCAATAATTAAAAGTATCCATCCAATGGACAGTGATGAAGAGATGTTGGCATACTTACTATGATATATGTTATCAATGAATAGCCAGTTGATGATATAATGTCATTCCATTTCACTACAATTTCAACTTCCCAATGCAATATCGCCTTATGTTGTGTTTTTTGAATAATTATGTTATTTTGAATAAGGTATATGGTATACCATCATCTCAGTAGCCAGTCCTTCAGTATTGGAACTACTTATATGTCAAAATACATCTTCAAATTCTTGTTAATAAAATATTCATTGCTTTAAGGATAGTGTTGCAACTGCAATATTCAATGTTGACGATGTTAAACAATTTTGTGTAATTTGTAAAAGCCCTTTTGGTATGTAAGAATTGAAATGTCTGTGTTTCTGTAATGGGTTAGGTAGTGTATAAATAGTGCCATGTTGCTTTGTTTAGCTTTATTACACGCTCTGATATTCTTTATTCACGGAGAAAAACTATCCTTTGTTCTGGAGTCTGTTTCGAATCAACTTTCATCCTGATTAGATCAATTTTCTTTACAGAATGTGCAATTGGTTATACATCAAAATCCGGCTATCCATGTAAGAAATGTTCGATGAAAACATATGGATCAAAATGTTTAGAACGGTGTGAATGCAAATTAGAAAAGTATGTATATAAAAAACAATAAGGATTCACATTTATTCAAGTATTACTTAACATCATAGGATGCATGGTTTTCCTATTTCATGACATTCACTTTAATTTTGCCGATGCATCAGATTGATTGGAATATCAATGGAATAACAATGTACATTTCGAAGAAGTCTATTTAGTCCTGCAGATCGGCAAACAAATTGTGGGTTTAATGATAAAAGCACCAAACTAGGCATGGTAGTAGTGGTGGGTGTTTCGAAAAATATTAGCTATAAATCCACCTTGAAAATTCAATATGGCGGCTTTTTCCAAGATGGCCGCCAAAAAATATAAAAATCAACAAATATCCCTTATATTGATTTAAATTTGTCATGTTAGTAGTGCTGGGTGCTTTAAACTATATAAGCTATGGACCCAACTTGAAATTTCAATATGGCGGCTTTTTCAAAGATGGCCGCAATAAGATATCAAAATCAACAAAATTCCCTTACAGAAGGTTACAAAGTGTTTTGTTTTGACGTACCTTCAGTAAAAATAAGAGCACTTTAATACCAAGTGTATGCCACATTTATCAAACATCATAAGATTTATGAGGAAAGTATAGAAAATCGTAACTACGGTGCCATTTTGCAGAACAGTAGTCTACAACAAGGGATCACGTATAGACACTAGTGTTATTCGAATATTTAAGCTAGACTTAACTAGAATGTATTCTTCTAGACTCGAACAGTTTTCTCTGTGATTAATTGGAGGAAGACATAGTAATGATCTTAAAATTGCAGTAATCTCAGGCTTGCCAGGCCATTTACAAGGCAGGTGCTTCCCTCTTCTGTTAAGTTGTTATTTTGGTGTTGCAATTAAACAGCAACAATCTATTAGTAAGACAACGATACTTGAAAAAGCTGCACATGCAGGTAGTTCATAAAGCAATGATATAGGCAGAAGTCTTTAAAAACGTTAGTTGATAATCGTTCGGCCAAATATTCAGATGCAGTCGTGTTATTCTATTAAGACAAATACGACGCTATCCATTTCAAAGGAACTTCTGTTTTATTTCTCTATTCTTCTTTAACATTACATTCAACCGAAGTAAACTCATCTCTTAGTGCATATAACATTTTTTTTTTAAATCCAATGTATTGGCACACCATGTTTATCTGCAATAACCATCAACATGATGTCTTGAGTCCAAAAGTTTTAGAAACCTATATGATCATTCAAAGATTAATAAAATACTCTTTTTAACATAGCATTTGATACTCGAATCTTTTAATAACAGTTTATTCCGTAAGATCCTTCTTAAGAGCAAATTGTTAAATCAATATTAACGTTGAATTTTAATATAAAAGATAAATTACGTTGACCAATGATCCTACATCCTGTATAACGCACTGCATTAGTTTTTTTTTTTTTTTGGACTGAAAACCTCAATCTTTTTCCGTTGGAGTTGTTATTTGCTTTAAAAAGGCTTTTAGTAACTGATCGTTCTCTAACATCGGTAATTTTTATTTCAAGTCTTTTATTTTTTTAGCTTTGTGTCGTTATGATGAGTCAACCCTTTTTCAATTGTTTTTTAATTTTATTATTTTTTTTGCTTAATATATATATATTGCTGTTACACCACAGTCCCAGTTATGGAGGATACATCCAGTTGAGAGCCAATGAGAAATCATACTACATCCTCTTATTTGTATTGTGTTTGTTTATTTAAATTAGGCTTTTTACCAGATCAAATAACTGCAACTACTCTCACAACGGTACTTTGTGTCATTTTAATAGTTGTTTTGTGCTAAGTACCTATCCGATGAGTCGAAGTCTTTCATACTAAGTATTCTTGATCCGATACCTTTGTTTGTATTTGTTACGTTTAGACAGTCAGTATATAATGGGAACCAACTGTTCTTTTTTTGACAGCTTGTTCCATGAATTAAAAAAGGCAAACTTCAAGTTTCGCTATCATAGTAGCAACTTTCAAAAAACTCCTGCATATCGAGTATATAGCTCTCAGTTGTTATATTTCTTTGCCTGCGATTCTTATCATGATCGCCGAATTTGTATTTACAACGGGCAACATGACCGTGTACACTAGTAGGGCATAATTTGCGCACTCCTTGGATCACCAGCTGAGATCACTCTGTTTTGGTTGGGTTTTTGTTGCTCAGTCTTCAGTTTTATATGGAGTTCTTTGTCTAGAGTTTATTGTCTTTTTGACGTCTTGATGTTTTGTTTTGCCAAAGCATTGCCAGCTTTTTTTCAACTTATACGTTTTTAATGCCAATTGAAATTCTCCGCCTCTTATTCTCACATAAAATCCGTTATAGATCTTCAAATTGATAAATTATTTTGGAAAGCATGGTTTGTATTTTGTTTATATAAATTAGGCTGTGAATCAGCTTTCAAAAACTGCAGCTACTCTCAAAACAGAACTAAGAGTCCTTTTTTTAACAAATTGTGTTGTGCTTAGTGACGATCTGATTAGTAGAATCCATTTTCCCGTTCAGGTCATATAGCTCGTAACATGTTGTTGTACTAAATCATCATCAGCTTTCAAATAATTGACTTTAAGCATTTGGTAGTAGATAATTGATAAGAAGTAGTGGATTCGTAAACGATAATCAACGAGCGACTTTAGTCGCAAGTTTATTATCGTTTCCGAATCCACTACTTATTATCAATTCTCTAGCTTAACCCATTTCTGGTAAAACGACTGTCTGTTTTACGTTTTGACAATGAATCAACGATATTTCATAAAAATAGTTTTGTATTTTGTCTTTTTTATTCTATAATAGCTGGAAATGATTATATCCACACGGTTCGCATCTATATTTAGACATTTGACAAGTTAACATAAGTTTAAGATAACTTAAATGGGGTGTTAGCTCCCCTTTTTAACACTGGATTTTATTTTTGTATATACATATTTCATTTAATGTTTAATCATTACAAATTATTTAAATTTAATAGATTTTGGTACATTTAATTTATTCAAAAAGACATATATTAATATACAGAATTCATTTATCTTGTTTTGAAAAGTTAAAAAAATTTAACTACCAAAATTTAGAACCTGCAAAATTTATATATATAATATTTAGCAACATGATTTGGTATACTGTAGAATAACAGCCGTTAAGCCGTTATTAGTAAAATAAATATTATTAGCGTTGATGTCATAAAACTGCTTTTTTATAATGTTCAAATTCATGTTGCTTTCCTAAAGTATTAAAAGTATGTGCTTACGATATAAATTGAACAATTATATTTAAATTTTGTTTAAACTGTTTTCGTTTCATTAAGTTAAGATTAATTTAACGTTATTACATTTGGCATATATCGGTCACCGGTCAATAAACTAGCTTTATCTTTGGTACGCATTCTGAATCCCCATCAGAATTGCTCCTGCTACGGATATACAATGAATAATTATGTTGATTTCATAAACTTACCATCAAGCTGTTCATAGCCGTGATCGCCTAGTCGTTGGTAACGAATGTCATACCGGTGATATTAACAGTGCAAAGTTCGAACCTTTCATCCGGAATGAAATTTTTTCATTGTAATTTTTTTCTGGACCAAATATTGTTTTAATCCTAGAACATGTGGAAGTATTATATGATTTCATTTTTATATAATGGCGATGATTTTGTTTCTGTTTTTACTGTCAAAGAAGTAGTTTTAAGCCATTTCTTTAAAAAAAAAAATAACACCCAAAATAAAACAAATTCAATAAACATGAACAAACCAAGATATATATATATATATTTCATTAGATTACAAAAGCGAATTATCAATGAGACAGAAATACAGTTAAATGACATGTATTGACAATTAAGCGCTTTAAGAGTACTATTCATATAGTAAATGATGTCTGCCATCGTGGTCTAGTGGTACCACGCATAGACTGAAGACTCTATTGATTATGAAGGAAATACGCGCGGGTTCGAATCCTACCCATGCCAGTCGTTTTTGAGAGGATTAAAGATCGTAAGTTAAAAGTTTAAAGTTATTATATAAGTTTAATAAGTTAAAACTGTGGTCAGTGGATTCTTGACAAATAATCTACAGCAAGAACAATAGACTGACGTCAGAGAAATGGGTTAATGATCAAGAAAGTTAATAAGGAAAACCGCTTCGAACGTATACATTTTATAAAGTGTTATTTTTTAGTACTAATTTTTACAGGTAATTGTTATGTTGTGCTTCTACACCACTGTCCAAGGATAGAGGGAAAATGAGCGCTAAAAAAATGTATAGCACGCTAAATTCCGTCTGTGTCTCTGTAAAAATCTAAATTTTAGTTGTTGTTTTTTTGATGTTGTGAAACATATGCTGAGTACCATTAATTCGAATATGCGAGATCCACAAGAACGCAGCAGTTTCGGATGTTAATGTTTACATGAAATCGGATTCCTTGTATAAGGATAGTGCCATACCACATCCGGTTTTGACTAAAATATTAAGGCTTGTTGGTAGCCAAATGGTCTGTAACGATAGTACCTCATCAGTTATACCAGACTTATAATTTATCATATCAATGATTTTTCATGTTCATAGTTAGATAGCCAATCTAATACGACGCTAAAGAGCACTAAATACCGGAAAGTTGGAACCAAAGAGGGCTAAGGTAATCAGTGCCTTATGAATAATAAAATCTTATGCATTAGTCTCGAAAACATTTTGTCTAAAATCTCAAAGTTACAAATATTAAGTAAACACTTATTCGCTATTGTACAAAAGAGGAAGACGACGCCAAAGGGCAATACAAAGACCAAACGCCGAAGAAAAACGTATAACGATTCAACTGTATATTAAATTGTTTTCGTCTTCGAAGTTTGTGATTTGTACTTTGCATAAAGATTTAGTATTTTAATTGTAGATGTGATCACGTGAGAGGGTGTATTAGTGAATCCTCCTCCAATGAAAGTAAATACTGATATTATAGAAGCATTTATGTCGAAAAGTAAACTATGAATATTAATTGTATTTAATTGCTTAGTTACTTCATAATTATATATGTATATATCTAGGCACAGTGGTATGAGTTTGATCATGCAGACACATTTGTAATCATTATATTGCATGATGCCAAAATATTACAGAATGTAGTAAATACTCAACCCTTTACATACATCATCTTCATGATAATTTATCCAATATGTCCACAAATGTACGATTCTTTCCGCCGTTTGTCACCATATCATCATCGTTCAACCAAAATTAACAATCACGCATTCAAGGGTTTAAATATGTTTGATAAACAAGGGGAAATGACATGTTGTTATCATGAAAATAGGGGCACACGTATGCATGTAACCCCTTCAATCATTTTCTGAGTATGCTTTCGAGGGATTTTTTTTCTACGACCCTTTTAATCTTCAGAACCTCTTTTGATGTAGAAATGTTGTCTTTGTTGTTTCCAGTTAGGAATTATAGCACAACAAAATATTGAATGCAATACATCTTCAGTTTGGTATTAAAATGTTCAAAATAATATATATAATCATTGTTTTGATAGGTACTACTCAAAGATTTAACTACCAGCTGACTACACAGTGAGTTTACTTTAAGTTTTATTTTCTTTATATACGAGCTCTATCAATAACATCCCCGTAAATAAAGATGTGTCTTAAGATTTTTTCATCTATCAGTTTTACCCTGGATACGTTTATTTTTTTGTTGTTGAAAATTTATGTCCAAAGTCCATCATATTGACTTAAAAGGAAATGGCGTTATAGAATAGGGACTATTACTTAGTTGTTACATGGTTAAAATAATCATTGGCAGTGAACTTCTGCGGTCGACGTATAAAGTTCTTTTGACTTCAGTTAATTAAAATTATCGTCTTAATGACCTAAGAAATTATGATATGGAAAATTGTTTTCATGCGCTCTGACACTTCTTTTTCATTACACATTTTTCTGGAATTTATACCAACATAATATACAGACACATGAGATTCAATGTTATGAACTCTGGTTCTAATTAAGTATATTCGGACATTGTGTAAGAACATTCACGTTTACAGTTCTTACCGAGATTTCCATTAAAATCATATCAAGCATTGAAATAAGAAAAGTCCTGGAGACTTATAATTTTGCACATAGCATAGCAAATTATAGGAGTTATTTTCTTAAATAGTTGAAAAGTGATGCGGCTAGGGTATATTTTTGATTTAGAAAAAAAAAATTTGCCCTATCGCTCAGTGGTTTCATTTTAGCGACCAATAGTGAGAAGAATAAAATGACTGCATTACACGAGTTTGCAAAGGGAAGCTTTGCCATTATTTCTTTAGAGGTAAACGTTGAGGATTGTTATGCAAAGCCTCAAGTGTGGTGCTAACGTGCTCATTATGATAGACGTGACTGCGTTTTCATAAATCAAGCAACTTTGGAAGGCATTAGTTTACATGCAGAACTTTTTTCGGTAGTCATCACTTGTCGTGTATTCAAGAGAAAATTCTCTATCCTTAATTGTTAGAAATCATCATGACTGTATTAATACTTTGAATCCGAAATCATGATTTCCATCCTTATATTTTAATTGCTGGGGTTGTTGTACAAAAGTCCAAACACTGATATATTTCGCCTTCAGAGAAAGATTGAGTTGTATCTTGAAAGAGTAAAATACTAATTAACATTATTAAAATTCCATGCAATAAGATCATTGAAATCATTTTCTGAAAACAATTTAAAATATTTTGTTTACAATTTATTTTATAAAAAAAAAAACCCAGATGAATCATCTATACCAATACCAAACGCTGTCTAATTTCCGAATCATATCAATTTAAAGGATATGTATCCGACATTCAATTGAAACAATTGGGAGACGAATAGTATGTGTCTGCAGTTCTTCCTTCCATAGCAATTCAAATTGACCTACTTGCCTTGTTAAAATTCAACTTATATAAACTGTAAAATTAGAAGTATTTCATACTATACATGTAGTCTTTGAAATAAATTATAACTTATAAAGAAAAGTTTCAATCTCGATTAACCTATCACCGCAACGGCTGATGGCTCTTCATGATTCGCTTGTAATGATCATACGGTTATTCAGTTTATTCCATTGATCTGGTTTTATTTTCCTTTTCAGTCCCTTTTGCTCTGTTGCAACTGTTTACATATAAACCAAATGATGGTTATAATTTACTTGTTGATGTATGTGATCTGAAAATTTAATCCCTTTTCAACTGATATTGATAGTGTGTTCTTATGAGCTACCTGGTTTAACCCCACCACATTCTGTAAGTGCCTGTACCAAGTCAGCTGGAACCTGTATTTCAGTGTTTGTCCTTTGGTTTGTGTCTTTCATATTTTTGTTCTGAAATAGTTTTGTTATAATTAGGCCGTTAGCTTTATCATTTCAACTATTTCATATTTTTCATGTCCAGGTCTTTTATAGCCAACTATACGTAATGGGTGTTTCGCATTGTTAAAGGCCGTTTGTTGCCTATAATGGCTTAGATCCACTTCATATCAACTTTTCAGTCTAGGATATAATTTTTTACGAAACTTCATATTAAAAGTGGCACAGTTTTATCCGTAAAGGGAGTTCCAATAAGAAATTGTATTGTCTATATCAACAGAAGTGCAACCTATATTGGGTGGGAAATGAGAACATGTAGAATTTCATTAAACCTGGTTTATCTCAGAGATTTTCATGACATTAAGTCAAATATAAAGTTTTATAAATATTGCATGAAGATTGAGAAAAACTTGGGCCTTAACTATGATGACTCAGCAAAAATGCACTATTTACAGTATGCATAGTTTATGTAAAGCCCTGAATGCAAAGTAAATTCGTGAAATATGCATATTTGTAATTTAAATTGTTTAGAAGTGCTTAAATGTATATTTACTCTTCGGAGTCATTGAAACTCATAGATCCTTGATGAGTATTGTTGTTTGGGTGTTTTTGTCCTGTCGATATTATATTATTAATTATGAAACAAACGAAAAAAATATTTAGAAATTAACAACGTCTGGCAAGTAGAAACAGAACAGGGCAATTTTGAACCAATCAGTTAGTTTATTATGGTTGTAGGAAGCAGGAGTTCGGCATGTTTGGTAGGAAAACTGACAATCCCAGTCAATTAATATTGGAGTCGAATGCACATACCACGTGCACCTATCGCGTGCTAGATTCGAACTCACAACCTCAGTGCTGACAGGATAGCGATACAGAAGTTTGACTATTTAGAACCCTCTGCCAACGAGGCCCCTCATCTGTTTTATGTACAATCTCGGAAAAAGTAAAGTTTTTCCACGTAAGAAATTATAGCAAATGTTATAAAAAATCATATTATCTTAAGCTGATACCCTTTCTCTCTTTTTAAAGACGTTCTTCAAACCAGTAGTTTTTAATGTTTAGCAAGTTATTTAACAAATGCACGCTTTCGGATAGACAATAATTCAAAACCAATACATTCCTGACGATTTGGATAAAATAAAGAATTACCTTCCTAAAAAAAAAGTTTATGTACACGTGCATTATTATAAAACTTAGCCATATAAGTATATAAGACATATTCAACATTTTGTAAAACTTGAAGTAGCATATGACTTTAAGGTCGAAATCAAGAAATACATGACTCTAAGTTATATTGAGTATTAAACATTGTATGTCAAGTATTCATTAAACATGATTCCATATATCTTTTATTTCTACATACAATCTAGATATTTTAATATTAGTTAGATCACTAGTTTTGCGTTTAAAAAGGGTTGATGTTTGAGCTTTTGATATATTGTCATTTGATATGGGTCTTTACGATTTGAATTTTCTTTGGAGTTCGGTATTTTTGTTATATTACTTTTTACTCAATATTATGTCTTTAAACTTTTTTAAATAATGCAATCCAATAGTACCTTTGTATCATAAATTTATTGTTTATTCCGGAAACAATTTCTCTTCAATAAGTCACTTACATGTATCTATAGGTTAAAAGGAAGTAATTAAAGATGATTGGCGGAAAGATAATAGGTATAAGTAAATTTATTTTCTGCTGCCTTGTTAATAAGAAATGAAAATTAAAATATTCAGAAATGAGTGTTGACTATTGTGCGGAATTAGAGAGAAATTTTGAAGAAAACTTCAGTGATGAGCAAAATTTTCTGTGCAAAATTAAATAAGAGTGTTCTTTATTCAAACTATTTCGAAAATTCCAGAACCATATAGTACCCTAAAATAATTCTATCAAAAGAGCTGCGGCACCGTAAGTGTTTTGCAGTTTTATTCACTCCCAAAGGTGTTGAAAATTCAGAATTTGCATATTTCTATGCAGATGTGATCACATAAATGGATGTGTGGACGTTATAACAACAGTTGATTTGTATCAAGGTATGTACTTTTTTCTGCATGTGAATACTAAGCGGTACATGGGATTATTTCACGTTTTTAATCGAAATCAATCAATTTGAAATAGAAAATCTAACATTTTTACCAGACAAAAATGCAGATACACTGGTCAAAGTATTAATTAAACATTACATAATTATATACATGAGTTTTTAACCGGGAAGTGAAATTGCATGATCAAGTGCATGCTCAAATTCTCCTCCTTTTCAATCGACAGAAAGGTATCTTTAACCATCTATTCCTCAATCGCCAGATGGTAGATGGTCTTCAGGACGAGAACGGTGTACGTTTGTGTGGGTGAGTGTGAGTGGAGAATGGAAATTTCAGGTAAAGCAAATATGCACTTCTAAATTGATGAAATGTACATAGTAAGTAAGTTTGATCATTTTATCACAGTCCTTGAAAACGTTCAAACTGTCACTACACTAGACCTTTACTAAACTGTTTAGTCTGGTCGATTTTTCTCCCTCCATTAATATATAGGCTTTCAATGACTTTAAGAGTTTTTTAGCGCCATATTATAAGCGTGTTCCTCATGTGATGGTCACTGCGATAAACGCAAGTTCAGTTTTAGGCAGGTTGGTACGAAGTCCAAGTCAAGTATGGCGATATTGATGGTGGGCGGGCAGGCGGGATTTCTGGGAAAAATTGGAACCTAATCAGTGTTATCAACATCTCCTACAGTTTTTAATCAAGATCCATGACACTTTGAGATTGTAAATATATTGAAGTTGTGCACCTGCTATTATGGAATTGTTTGAGGAACTCGTACATTTCATATTTTAATTATTTAGATATTCAGCATTTTAGAATTTTAGAGTTTTTTTTTTAATTTTCCTAATCATAGGGCATATAAGTCAAGTTATAGATACATGCAATTCACTAGTATTATGATTATTGATAAAATTACAATGTATAGAGCATTCTCTTTTGTTTACGAAACATTCTGCGCAAACCGGCCACTTGGGTCTATGATCCCTTTTCTTCTTTTTGCTCGTGAATGAGCTCTTACTTTATGTTTTTAACGGAAATTATAATTTTCCTTTAATCTTTTCTAGAAGTTAGCGGCAAATGAAAATGATGAATGAAAAAGTACTTTTTGAACGCTCCCGTAAGGGATCACGATGACCTTACCGTGTCAGACGGATCAGAGAAAAAAATAGAAAAACGAAGCGTCAAGCATGTGG